TTTGAAGTACGCAGCGTTTACTCAAGATCTTTCTAGAACAGACCCCTGGGGCAGGAGTGGGTGGCTATCCAGGTGGGCAATAAAGGCGAGTGCTGAGGGGCACGGGTGACTTACTTTCTCTCCCCACCCCCGCCGGGTGCAGTTGCTCCAGCAGCCCTCCAAGCCCGGAGTCTCCAGCTGTGACGGCCTCCAGCACTGCCACATCCTCTGGTTGCTTCCAGGCACCGTCCAGGATCCAGAGGGTAAAGGGGTGGACAGTCATGGGGCGGGGAGATGATGTGTAGACATACAGCTGGGATCTCCAGAAGTCAAGGGCTGTGTCTGGGGAGCCTGTATCCTTTCAGACATGTGCAAATTTGAGAACTGGATCTAGACAACCAATCCCCCCACCCCTCACCCCCACCCCCGACTCAGTGTGGAATCCAGTTTTCAGTTCCAGCTGTAACTGCCTTGAGCTGCTCTGGATGACAATGTGTGACCCGCCAACAGCGGCTTGGCTCCTGAAGCCCTAACAAACTTCTTTCCCTGGCAGAGCCCTCCACTTGCAGGGCGCCCAATGGCTCCCTGGAAAGGGAGCACTGTTTGCTGGGCCTTGGGAGGCAGGCAAGGAGATTCTGGGGCACGGGGCACACACCTCTCCTCTGCAGGCGCTCTGAGTTCTCAGGGCCTGTCTGCTTCCAGGCAGGAAAGAAACGGATCATGTGTCCTGGACTGAAAGTGGTCCATCAATCAGCAGGCACTCAGATGCTGAAAGCCCATACAATGGACAACAGGAGTGGGAGGGGTGGGAAGGTTTCACTCAGGATGGGGCCCCCACTGGGCTGGAGGGGAGACAGGGTGTCCTCTCACAGGCACACTCAGGACAAGGTGGCCCCGATGGCAAGAGCAGAACCTCAGAGAGAGGGCATGTGCGTCATGTAGCAGTGGGCCCTGGAGCGGGCGCTGTGCCCAGCTCTGGCATGTGCCCAGCTCTGGCATGTCTACTGAGGCAGGCCAGAGCCAACTAGCTAAGACCCCTGGGGGGTTGGCAGGGGCCCAGGGTGGTCACTTGGGTCAGCAGAGGGTTCAGACAGAGACCCAGTCCCGTGTCAACCACCTCTGACCTCCAGCCCCAGGTGCCCACTTCTCTCAGAAGCCAGTGTGTGGCTCCCACAACTAATGTGGCAGCTCAGGAGACTGGCTGTGAGGGTGGCCCTCCCTAGGTCCCAGGCAGCAGAGGGCCGGCAGGGCCATCCCAAGATGGAGTCTGTCTCATCAGCCACACAAGCACCGGCTGGGCAGTCATGTTGGGGGAACGAGCCACAAAAATCCCGCCGGTGAGCTCCAGGGAGCTGGCCAGTGGGGCTGGGGCAGTGCCACCCGAGAGAGGTTCACAGCTTGAACGGCCTCCACGTTTGGGCTGGAGTCCAGTTGACTCCAGTCACGTGGCAGCTGCTGCTTCCACTGCTGACTCTGCCTGCCTGAGCCTTGGGGGCCCCCCGCCCTGGTACTTGTGTCCGCATCAGCTTGTCGGCTTGGCAAGGTCTTGGGGTGCGGCCTGTACCCTCAGAGCAGGCATGCGTGTCCTGTAGCAGCCAAGGCTGCAGGAGTTGGCCCTGCAGGGCTCAGTGTGTGCACACAGCTGGGATTCTTACTGAGCATCAGCAAAACCTCTGCAAGGTGGTCACGCCAAGGACGCCTGCCTGGTGGCCGGCCGCCAGGGGGCGAGCTCACACAGCAAACCTGCGGTCCTCCAGGTGAGGAAAGCCAGCGTTTTCCTTGGGCCTACTTTTCAAATGAAGGGGATCAAGAGACAATCTGGTACAAGCCCACAGGGGATGAGGAGGCAAGAGGGCCAAGGACACCGGCTGACAGCCATCAGCCCTTGCCTCGTGGACCAGGCCCCCAAGACCTCCCCAGCGCGCCTGGTGAAGAGCTGCAGAAAGGACAAGCACTCACCTGGCTTTTGTGTGTATGAAAACCAGTTTATTTACACAGTAATGTGATGGCACAGAGTACACAGCAAAGTACCACAGCAAACCAAAGGGCGGTGCCACCTGATGGCGGAGGGGACCCTCTAATTCATCCATGTCCACGACACTTAAGGTGCGCAAGGAGAGTCGCAGCTCCAGGGCAGGCGAGAGGAGCAGATGCTTCCCACATGGAGTGCACAGTCCTGGGGATTCGGGCGAGCGCCGCAGCGACACGCTTAGAGAGGGGCAGCGACAGTGACAGCATGCTTCGGTGTTGATCTCACGCCCACATGCCCCGCGACAGAAAACCCCGATCCAGTGTGTTCACACACAACACCCTCTGAGACCGGCAAGGGGAGGGACGGCCAAGGAGCCTTTGAAGCGAATTTCCTGAAGCCACGTGGTTTTGACCTTTCACACATGCGACCCTGAAGCCATGGGGCTGGCTCAACATTCAAGGGATCTGAGTGCACGCACATGCACACGCACACGCACGCCTTTCCACACACTGCAAGGGCAAAGTTGGTTTTCTGTAATACAATAATATTCATAGCAAAATATATGATTCTATGCTTCTGCTAGGTTAAAAAACCTCTGGCCTCTTGATTCCCTGAAACGTTCCTGAAAACACACATGGGGGTGGAGAGAAGCTGGGACAAACCGCGGAGGATGTCATCGGTGGTGACACACACACTGTGGGGTTCTCCAGGGGACAGCCCGCCCCCTGACCCCACAGCGGGGAAAGCGCCCTGCGGTGGCTGATGCCAAGACCGACTCTAATCTCACACAGCTGCAGGGAGAGGGGTGTTTCATAGCTGGATAGCACCTTGTACCTTCCGGGCACTTTGAAATATTACAGGATATTGATGAGTGGTAAGCACCTCTGTAGGAGGTTTATCAAAAGGACTACAATTTGTTAAGAAATTCCCCACAGAGGTCTTGAGACAAACCCATGGAAGTGACCACCTCTGTGAGAAACCAAGCTCTTCAGGTACTGATGGCCCTCAGCCGGGGTCTGGGGAGCAGCCAGCCCCAGCCATGTCGGACCGACACAGGACCGCTCCTCCTCCCTCAGGCTGAGGAGCTCTGCAGTCTGCCCAGGGCTTTCTTCCTCTTCATCATCATCACCCCTCCGCACAAACGCAGTCTTTAAAAAATCGGTGCTTCCCCCGCCCCGCCGATGGATGGAGGACTTAGCAAGTACATCTGCTGACAGTGGAAGGATGCGCAATTCCCCTCCCGCGGCATCTGTCCTAACCCAACCTCACCCTCTAAGAAGCGTCTGGACGGCCGGCTCGGTTTCTTTGGTTTCATCTCCATCTTCGGCTTCCCTGACGGCATCGTCACTTTTGGTCCGTGGGCTCCGGCTTCCGGCGCAGCACTTGGGTTTGAGACCATCAGCTCCGGTGAGGTAAAACCAACTGGTTTCGTGAGCAGCCACCCTGTTCCACTCAGGCTGGACCAGACCTCCCGAACTGGATGGACCAGCGAGGGGGATGCAAACCATGTCGGCAGCACCCCCGGGAGCCTGAGTCCGCTTGTCCCCTCCTCTCCACGCACGTTCATGCTTGCTTCACGCGGCCGGGCTCATTTGGTAGACCGAGCGGTCGGTCCCCAACAGCCTCCCGATTTCCCAGATTAGCCTGCAATGCTTCAGATTGTTCCCGAGGGAGGGGGGGAATATTCCACCGCCAGGTGGTCACCGCCACCCCCACCCCACTTTCCCAGCACCAGCAGACTCAGCTCCCCTGCGGGGAGCGGGGCTCAAGGTGCCATCCAGTGAGCCCTACGGGATTTTGTGGACATTTGACAGCAGTAGAAATGTTGCAGGATGATTTGGGCTAGTTCTACTCCCAGAAATGCATGGATTAGTTATGAGTATCTCCATGGGGCTCAGACCTCACGGCAGAGTGTTTTCCATGGGCACAAAGTTATTCTGAGTTTGGAAGCAAACTGGTTTCCACTCACTCCGACAGTGGTGACTCAGACTCAACCATCCTAGTAAATGTGCTTCGTTTCCACCATCTCAAACATCACTCAGGTGTGCCCCCACCCCCGCCCCTCGCCCCCACACTTTACCCAGTTCCTCCTTCCTCTCACGGCAATGCTTGAAACCCACTGCCCCATTCCTGGCTTCTAACCCGAACGCCGCCTCGAGGGAGGGGTGCAGCTCATTCCCAGTTCTTTTTGTCCTTGGCTCTAGAAGTTTCAAAAGCTCTTTTCCCTTTTCTGCTGCTACTCTTCCAGAATTAGCTTGGGGGCATCTCATCAGTGTGCGTGCAAAGGTTGGCTCCCCGCAGGTGGGTGTGGGGGGGCTTCTCTAGTTCTGGTCCTCTGAGTGGTGGACCATCCACAGGCTCTCCCTTCCAAGGCTAGGTTTTCACTGGAACAAGGCACTCGGCGATACATTCAGTCTTGACCCTGGCTCCTCGAGCCACTGTCTTGTTTCTCCAGCACCCAGACAGGTCAGAGAGGTTGTTCGTGCTTGAAGTGGTGTAAGGAAAAGTTCCCACCGCGGCGCGATTGTTCGAATGCTCAATCTAAACAGAAGACTCGGGAGAGTTTAGGAGAAAGGGGAGATTAAAAAAAGTATCACTGATACTGACGACATCAGCTTGACGCTAGCCACAGTCCAACACACGTGTCTGTGTGTGAGAGTCTTCTTTCCGGCTGATGAAGTGGATTCAACGTTCCTACCACAATTAACACGGAAATCAACACTGGGACAAAGTTAGAGTAGCCGAATGTCATTGTTTTCAAAAAATCATCTGAGGATCATCATGCGGTAGCACTTCCTGCCTTGAAGTGCTCACTCCTTCCCTGCATTCTGCTCTAACCTAAGGTGACCAGACGTCCTGCCTTTGGCGGAACAGTCCCGATTTTTAACAATATTTCCTGCGTCCCACGGCGTTTTAAAAAAGTCCCGATTTTTGGAAAGAATGCACGACAAGCTAGGGTATACGGTTTTCAGCTGCCATGGGGCTATTTTGCCAGGATATGAGTTTTATCAATGGTGTCCCGCTTTACCAATGTTAAAATCTGGTCACCTTACTCTAACCTGCACCCCCCTCTGCCTCCTCCCACTGCCCTCCCAAGCCTCGGCCACCCCACAGAGAGCAATAGGGAGGCCCGGGCCCTTCTGTGGGTAGCTGACATCCATCTCGCCCCCTTAAAGCGTGTCAATATAAAACAGTAATCGGCACGCCTGAGACCAGAGGTCTCACCAGTGCTGTCAGATGACGGTAGTGGAGCATCCAGGCCCAATATACTACAGTTAAAACGAAGGCCAGGGGAGAGAGACCTACCTAGAAAACAAACAGGGCCACTCTGCATTACATATGTGACCTCACTTGAGACAGTCACCATTCACACTGACACGGGACAAGGCACCACGAGTGACACTGATAAGCGAGGTCAGGGGCTGAGGGAATGTCCTGGCCGACGCGCTCAGTGGTCTGTGTGGTCTCAGTCAGTTGTTCAGTGTTATCACTGGGCAGGGAGTTACGTGCACAGGGGCCATGCAGAGGCAACCCAAACACCAGCCAGCCAGGCCAGAGGTCCCAGGCCACCGAGGGAACGTGGACAGGCTGCCGGCAGCGGCACGCCCGCTCCGTGGCCATTCCTGGGAGCAAAGACCCTGCTCTTGGGGCTACCCAGCTCTCTGCTGTGCTGTAGGCCAGGAGGGACCGCATCATGCGTGTACCCCTTTCACAGAGGACTCTCTTTAAAATATAAAATAAGGGCACAATAAAATACATTCTTCTCCTTTCTGGATCCTCTTCGACACAGGTGAGTCCCAGGAAAGGCTGCTAAAACGTTCAGAGAGTCAGAAATGCCCAAGGCCTCGCGTGCACCGACAGTAATATGCACACACTGGGCCCTGGCTTTCAGAAACTCGGTGCCGGTGGGTGAGGGTCACGGACCCCCTCTCGGTTCAACAGGCCCGTCCACCAACTGTGACCCAGCACCCTCCTCCCACTCCCACAGGCCTCCCCTCCGCTTGTGCGCGTGCACACACTATGCTGGTCGAGTGACTCTTGGGTTGCAGTAACAGGTACTCACAGTTTGGGATCAATCAAGCACGTGAGCACACCCTCACACACACAGCTGTGTGTGAGGAGCGTGCGTCTCTCAGCGCAAACGTGCTGGGGGCGGGGGCGGTGGGGGGCTCTGTGGGTCTCGCTTCAGGTGAAGTTGCAACATAAACACTGTAATATACAGCTAAAAAATTACATACAAAAATTGCACATATATCCATAGGGGAGGAGTGTGGGCTCCACCGGAAGGGAGCAGTTCTCAGGCATGGACACAGGCCCCGCCACCCCTCACCCCAGAGCTGGCCACCAGAGCCATTTCCCAGGGAGCTCCAGGGGCACTTGCATGGGAGCCGGCGGTCTCTAGAGAGGAGGTCAGCGTTCTCAGAAGGTAGCCCCCGTCTCATTGAGTGCCGCCCCCTGCACCCTAGCCTTCAGGCCATGCGCAGCCAGCTTCAGGTCCTTCACGGGGGTCTGAGAACTGCACCGACAGGCATTTCATCCGGGGCTGCTGTCTACAGCATTTGGGAGACCAGTTGCTGAGAGGAAGCAAGCCCATTATTGCTGGGGGCAGAGGGGATTGGACAGCCCTGGCTGCATCGTTGATAGCTCTGCTAGGAATCAAAGGACAGCACTCTGAACTCTGACCCCTGCTGGCCCCTGGGGAACTGCTCGTGCAGGGGCCTGTGTGCCTTAGGTCCTACAGCTGCATGGAGCTCTGAACTGAGCTCCCCCCCTGCGGGCATTGGGGACCCCATTCGGGGTCAGTTCTGGTAGGGCCAGAAGGGGCTGATGAACCCCAGCTGGGAACAGAGCAGAGACAGGGGCAGCCAGGTTGGGGGGCGGGGGCAGAGGGGAGACTGTGGAGTCCACCCTCCATGCGGGCACACTCTTGGGGGCTAGAGAAATAAATGCAAAGGAGCCAAGGGCCCGGGGTGGGGGCTGTCCCCTTGCCTTCTACTCTCTTAGCTGGAACAAAGGCCCTGGTCCCGGAAGCTGGGCTGATGCTAAGAACGGCGTGCCGGCCTGCCTCAGGAAGGGGGAGCCTGCTGCTGCCAGGGTGGGCTACACTGGCTATTGCTAGTGAGAATAGAGGTGTTAGGTGGTGACAGTCAGAAACATGGAGGAACCGGACACTGCTCCTGGAGCTCACCCTGAGGGAGCTGGCTCTCTTGGGAGGCCTCCCATGTGTGGGGCTCGTCAGATGGGGCACTTGCACAGGGCGTTTCTGTAAACTGGGGAGAGACTCAGTGTCCTTCCTCCTGAGGAAAGCCTTGCAGGAGGGCCTCGCCTGGTCCTGAGCGGGGACAGCTGGCTCATCTCTCTCATTCTCTTGGGGTGGGGTAGCTGGAGGGTGAATCCGATGGGGAGTATGGGGGATGGGTTGGGGGGTAGCATTCCGGATGGACGCGTTAGCGGTGCTGGAGGATGTTCACAATGCCGCTGAGGGAGTCTCCAGTGGTGAAGGCCAGGTACTGAGCACACAGCCAGTCCTCGAGGCTGACCCCGCCCTCCCGGTCCAGGGCCTTCTCGGCAAACTTGATCAGCAGCAGCGTGCGCTTGATGTCCAGCCAGTTCTGCAGGAGGGCCTGCCTCTGCGCCGGGCCTGGGGAAGCGGCAAACGTCTGGAAGAGGTCTTCCCGGGGGCCCCAGAGAAGACACTGCAGGATGCCTTTGGCGTCTGAAATGAGGATCCGCTCGGAGGGGTTGGGGTTCAGGAGGCAGCTGGCCAGCTGCTGTAGGCCTTGAGAGTAGGGGGAGCGCAGCGGGATGCGAGGCAGGTCTGCGCGCGTGTATTCTCTCTCCTTCAGCTCCGGGTGCTCGTCGAAGGGGTTGGGCAGGTGCAGCATCTCGTAGATGAGGATGCCGGTCTGGAACTCGTCACATTTCCTGTACTGCGTGGCGGTGACAATCTCCGGGGCCAGGCGGGACTGGTCCCGGAGGATCTCGGGGTCCACCAGGTGGCTCTTCTGCCTGGCCTGAGAGAAGTTGCTCACGATGAGCCGAGTGGGCCCAGGGGAGGTGGGGCTGGGCTCCGCGGGCCCCAGGCACGGGGCAGGCCCCCCAGGCTGGTAGTGGACAAGCAGCAGGTTCTCCAGGCGGAGGTCACAGTGCGTGACGTGGTAGGGTTTCAGGTGCTCGAGCCCAGAGCACAGCTGCAGAAGCAGCAGGCACACGTGCCTCTCATACACATCGGGGCTTCGCCCGTGCTGGGCCAGTGAGTCGCGTACAAAATCGGCCACGGTGAGGCAGGGCACCTCTCTGGTGATGACCACCACGTGGCTCCTCTGCTTCCTGGCCCCGGCGCCCTGGTTCTCCTGCGGGGAGGGCTCCGTGCCGTAGCAGTGCTCTGCTGGGCTCTTCCCAGAGGCTTCTCCTGTCCCCTCGTCTTCAGCATCGTTCACTTTCTCCTCCTCCTCCTTCTCAGGGGCATCAGGGTCCTCCCAGGGAAGCAGGCGGTTAGGCACTTCGGCCAGGAAGTGACCACAGTCCTGCTGGATGTTGAAATGGATAGCCAGGCTCTGCCGCACGGCCAGGCTGTGATAGTACTGCTGGGACTCCTTGGCTTTGCTCTTACAGATCTGAAAGACAAAGCAAAGGGCGCGCTGTGAAACCCACAGCTTTCACGGCCAGGCTCGGGGCGGGCAGGAGCAGCGGGATGGAATGAGACAGGGACCACTGGCTAGGAACAACCAGGTGACAGCAGCAAAGTCTTCAGAAGGGACCTTGGCCACTCGGTGCCGAGTTACTGTAGTGACCTTTCCCACTGCCCTGCTGTGCCAGACAGTGCTTAGTAGTTGAATCAGACAGACAGAGAGAGAGAGAGAGAGAGAGAGAGAGAGAGACTTCGTGGACTTCCCCGCCCCTACCCTCACTGCTGTGGAGTTGATTCTGACCCGAGGTGGCCTTGGGTGTCAGAGCGGGCAATGGAGTTCCAAGACATTTTCTGGCCATGACCTTCAGAGAAGCAGGTGCCAGGCCTTTCTTCCATGTTACTACTGGGTGGGCATCAACTGCCAACCTTTCCATTCATTCCTAGTCGGATGCAAACTACATGCTACACCCCCCCTCCCGACCCCCCCGCCACCCCCCACCTCCACCCCAGACCTCTGTGCTCAGCATCTTATTCAACTGGTCTTTGGTCCTCACAGTGATCCTTCAGAGTAGGCCGAGGAGTCAAGAAATATATTTTTTTAAGCCCACGGCTATGGGTTTGCACGCCTGCTTGTCTAATGCTGTTTCTGTGACACCCTGTACTTCACCGGGAAAGCAGACCAACAAACAGTAAGATCACGCCTGACACTATGCGTGGCGGTTTACAGTCAGGGCTTATCCAGCAGCCCAACGTGAAGCAGGCTCGAATATCTAATTGGAACACTCTTTCTATCAGCTCATACAGGTGCGTGGCACACGTGTAATGGGCCAGGCAAACTGTGGGTTAATCCACCTTCTCACTGAAATGTCATTTGATGGTCGCAACTCTGGCACTAGCAATTCATGGGCAGGATGGGGTGAAAGGCTGATAGACCACTGGTCTGACCCCACCAATGCAAAGCCAACATTCCAGGGTCAAAGTTCCGAGTTCTAGG